ACACAAGGCCAAGGGAGTCTTGTTTACCCATCCATATAATAACACTATTATCTGTCAGTGTAGCTTATTTCTCTACTTCCTTCTGGTCAAATCAGTGTATTAAAGTTAGATTTCTTTTTATCCAAGAGTAGCTTACCTGCCACATAAATTCTTTTGAGAAAGGCAGGTTAGCTTAGCCAAGGGTCAGTGAGATCGTATCCTAAATAGCTCTCTCTTCTGCATCTGGACGGTTGTGGAGGTCACGGCATCTAACTGAGTTGTTGTTTCGCCTTGGCATAATCTGCATTATGCTTTGCTGAAATGAAATAATGCTTCTTTCAACCCATTTTCATATGTGGGGTATTTCATATATGGGGTATCATTGATGCCAGTAGCATCAATGATAACTCTGAGGGAGAGTCCGGTCGTCATCATCTAAAGTTACCCGTCTTCCTCAATCACCATTTTTGTCTCTACCATCCATGTCTACTCCCTTTTAATAGTTTACTTTGGATCTGTCAATTACTTGTTGAAATCCTGAAATTCTGTTTACATTTTTTGCTAGCCAGCTCAAACTTCTGGGGATAACATATTTCATTGCCAAATACATGAAAGTGGTCTGTCTTAAGACATTCTCCAGAGTATCTCGTATATGTTACAAAGAAAGTCCTCTAGATAAGACATTGGATTTGTGAGAATAATCTCATCTCAAGCTTTCATGACACAGTATTAAGCAGCTGCAGAGGCAATAAAGACAAAGCTGCTAGGTCATCCCTTGGAATTCCCAAGACACATATTTTTAACATTTGCATACTTATTTACATAAATTTTGTATGCTCCATTCAAAAGGTGCTGACTCCAATTATGTAAAATAAAGCATGAAACACCTCTTGATCTGAGGGTGAATCACCACACATTCTAGACTTGCTTGCCTGCTGCCTATCTCTGACTTCTCACTCTCTGCCCCAAGTTATTCACATCCTTTATACCTGCTCTCACATCATAACTATTAAGGAAAAGAATCATTAAATTGGCTTACAAGAATGGGGGTGGCTCTAAGTGTTTTTTGTTTTTCTGTTAAGAGCTCACACCAAGATCCTCTGTTTTCCAGCTGGGATTTTCACAAGACATAACAAGAAAAAAATATGGTCTTGCTTCAGCTTGTGGTATTAATGATTTGAATGGTAAAAATCTAGTTCTAGATTTCAGCCTTCCACCCCACAAAAATTTCCTTGGCAGTGAAAAGATTTATGATTTTAGGCAAATGACCTTTGGTTTACTTCTCCAACTTAAAGGCTGCTATTGACCCCTTTAATCAAAGTTTGACTTTGTTTACTTTTTCCATTTCTGTTTATCTTCAGATAAAGGACAACAGAACTGATGGAAAATGTATTCATTGTTTATTTATTTACTATTTGGGGCCATATTGGATGGCGCTTTGAGCTTAATCCTTGCTCTATGCTCAGGAATCACTCCTGGCAGAACTCAGGGAGCCATATGGGATGCTGGGATTGAATCTGGGTCAGCTGTGCAAGGTCAACTTATTCACTGTGTTATCTCTCTGGCCCCTTCTTATCTATTTTACAGAAAATGTACTAAGTTCCAATGCCAAAGCTATGAGGAGAAAAGAAATCAAGATTATCCTTTGGTAGAATCCCACTCAATCCAAGATAGCCCTGTGTCACTATGCAGAGGCCTACCACCTACCTGAAATCTCATCCTGGCGGAAGGAAGCCCTAACTCCCCTATCCTCAAGGGAGAGACCCTTGAGAATCATGGAGGAAGTTCATATCACTGAACCAAGAATGGTCTTTCTACACTTGATTTCCTTTCATTCTCTGAAAAGCAATCCCCCAAAGTGACTCCCTGCCATTTTTATACTGAATTTAGTGTTTCTGATCAGGTTTAGACAAGACTAAGTTCATGACTTTCTCTTGGGTTGAAATGAAATTTAGTCAAGAGAGTCCTCCAGGGTTCACTGACTTCTGACCTCAGCCTTTGAAATAACTTTTCTTGATTCCCACAAAGTGGTGGTCTATTTGGAGCTCGTACAAACAAAACTAAATTAGTAGGGTTAGAGGGGACAGCTCAGGGGACAAAGCAGAGGATGCCGGAGCAGGTGTCAACACAAATTGTGACATTCAGGGTGTGTCATGTTTATATGTTGTATTAATCTTTGGGTTAAAAAATATGTCTTTCACTTGGAACCAACGTCAGCAGAGAGAAGTGCAACTCTCACTGAACACAAAGTTCAGAGAAACTCAGCCCCCAGGAACGTAGGCTACTCTTCTGCTATGCCTGCAAAATGTCAGATTCGTTGACAGCACGGGCAGAAGACTTCCTTTTCAGCAGGGATTTCACACTTCTGCAGACAGCTGCCTTGGCAAGACTCACAGTCAAGGCAAAATGACCAAGAGTCAGCCAGAAAAATAGATTTATTTCCTTTTTAAAACTGCAAAAACTCTGGTTCTGCTGACACGTATCTCCGAGTTAGAGAGAAAAATCTCTACTGAAAAATATATACATACATTTTTTTGGTTTGGAGACTGCACCTGGCTCTTCTCAGGTCTTATTCCTGACTCTGTGCTCAGAGGTAGTGTGTGGTGCAGGGGATTAAACCTGGGCTGGCCACATGCTAGGCAAGAGGCCAACACACTGTGCTATCTCTCTGTCTGGCCCTCCCCGAATTTTTTTATTTGTGCCCCCAGTAACTTTTATCCAAGATGTTCAATTGTGCGTGTCCTAGCAATACACTACAGTAACAAAGGACAAGAAGTCAAATGGGTATTCTAGAAGACCACAGTCTTTACATGCCGTGTGTTTGGAAAGCATCTTCTTATACTCGCTATAGTTTTGCTTCTCATCCTGACATACAACACTTCAACTTCTTCCACTTCCTTTTCCTGAGATAAGGAAAATTGGGCCTGTGCTTCCACTAAGCTTACTAGGTGTGTTACTTTTCATGCAGTTATTCGAGTTGCATCCTTGGTTGACTGCTTGAATACGTCATAAATGAAATAGGTCAAAGGATCCTGGAACTTGTGGATTCATATTAAGTGATTCATTCTGTTGACATGTCCATGAAGCAGGTACTATGGCGGTGCCTTTTACAGGTGTCTTGTTCAAATTCACAGGAAGCTGGGATTTCTGTCCACACAGGCTGGCTCCACTAGCCCCTCACTCACAACTGTTGGTTGGCACTCCCTGGTGTGACCAGAAGGGGTGATTTCACATTCCAAGTAGTAGGAGTTCAGGTAAAGCCCATCATTTCTATTCTACAGGCAAAAACTTTCATTCCACATGGTAACTCAAGTAACAGATACTACATTAGGATGAGGTAGCTTTGTAGTCGGATTTCACACCAACACATGTCAAAAGGGATCAGTTCAAACACCGCCACCCCACCACCCCACCCTATCCCCGCCCAAATACCACTTGGTGGGAAGAGAATTAAGAAAGAGTAGATGCAGGTAAAGCTCTCTTTCTGTGAGGAGGCAGAAGGCACATGTCCCTTTGTAAGGGCGACAGACATTTGCAAGGTTGTCTGTCTTTTCTGTCCTTTCCTAGGGCAGCTAATCACTGGAGACTTTTACCACTGGAAAATAACCAACTCGATTCTGAATAACAAACTTACCCAATAATATCTTTTAAATTCATTTCCTCCACTGACTCACCACCTCACCACTCATTACCCTTATAGGCCAAACCCCTTTGCCTTTCTCTGTCATGACCACTTACTGGTTTTTGTTACAATGGCACATCAGCCTCAAATATAACTACGCCTCTGGGTCTCCACCTTCTGATTAGAGTCTGCTGATGCATGTTGGGCTGGAGCAATAGCACAGCGGGTAGGGTGTTTGCCTTGCACGCGGCCGACCCGGGTTTGATTCCTCCATCCCTCTCAGAGAGCCCAGCAAGCTACCGAGAGTATCCCACCTGCACGGCAGAGCCTGGCAAGCTCCCCTTGGCATATTCAATAAGCCAAAAACAGTAACAAGTCTCACAACGGAGACATTGCTGGTGCTTGCTCGAGCAAATCAATGAACAATGGAAGGACAGTGCTATGCATGTCAGGGGAGACACCCCACTGGCCCCTCTTACTTCCAGCACCATGCCACTACCCTACCAGTTCCACCATTTCACAGTGACTATGCTCCCAGAGAGCCACAGTGGGCACAGCAGTAAAGGGGCAGTTAGACTAGACCTGTGGCAAAAGAAGCCCTGCTAGACTCTGAATCTGGAATTCTTTGCTGGTAAGAAGCAGAAAAACCTGAAGTAACACAAGAAGGAGTCTACATCTGGTATCCCTCCCAATGAGATGCCCACACGTGCATGAGAGAGGAAACCCAGTAGGCCCAAGTCAAACCGGAAGACTGACCCACACTCAGGACTTGTCTTCTGATTCTCTCGAACCCTGCCATCTTTCTCCACAGAGAGCACTGCTTTAAAATCAAGTCTTTATTTCAGTGTACATGTCCCTTCTGTGCATTCTCACTGGGGTTAGTCAAAGAATGAGTCCTTGGGATACTGAGAAATTCCTAGCACTCTAGCAGTCATAATAATCACTGGTTGTGGTTTTAGAGAATCTCTCTCTTTCTTGCTCTCTCTCTCTCTCTCTTTCTCTCTCTCCTTTCCATTTCTTTCCATTTTGTTATTCCATAAACTGAACTTAAGAAGGAAAGTTTTCTTCCTTTCACACAACAGAATGACTGAACGCAACTCCTGACTTCTAACAAGTTCTGAGAGTCAAAGAGCTGAGAAATTAGGGCTTGAGGGGACTCAGGGAGGACATTCCTGGGATAAAAGTGGAGGCACAAGCAGAGGCTAAAGAATCTCAGACCAAGGACCCTCAGTGCAACGTCGTGTCTAGGAACAGTATCACTAAGGTCAACAAAATTAAAACGTGAACAACGTAACCCACTTCTAATGTGATTCATTTGACTCATTCACCTACAGAGCTTAAGACGACAGTCAATAGACTCAGATCATTACTCTTGAACGAGAAATGGATTTCAGCTTACTTTGCCAACCGGTTTCTCAGTCAGTGGTCCCGTCGAGCAGACCGGTGCCAGGCTACTGTACATCGGAGGCTTCCATTGCTGTTCCTGCAACAGAGTGAAACAGAGTTCAGAGGTGTCACAAGCATCTCTGCTACACGGAACCATTTCCCTGTTTCTCATGGTCATGCCACAAGCACTTAAACTTAATGAATGTCACTTGAAATACCTCAGCCAGCATTTTTTTTAGTAACTGCTGTCTTCAGTCTGCAATCCTTGCAAACTCATTTAACCTTGTATAGGAACACAGTACAAAACCACTGATGACATTCTGAAAGAATTCCAACACACATGTTGACATAAATGTGAATATTTTTAGCTTAATGTGGAGAGATCTCAACTTAGTTTTTTTTTTTTTTTAACACATGGCATAGGAGGACACAGACATAGCGTAGACAGGACTCAGGGCTCAGTCCAGTCCTTCTATCTTCATGCTTATAGTAGGGGCTACTTTAATGGAGCCGCCATCTAGTCCTGGGTACATTTAGAAGCTTAAGCTGGTGCTGAAGTTTCAGTGGATATCACAAACTTGGTTTGGACCTGGCTTTGAGTGTTGGTCTTATGCTTACAAGAGAACCTGAGTCCCTTGATGTTGCAGACACAAGCACATTTCCAAATGGGGAAAATAATATATGCAAATGAATTAAGCTTGAAGCTTGTGCTTCAAGCTTTAAACACTCCTTGGGTGTTTAAAGCCCCAATGACCTTGCATGTATATTCATGACCTTGTGTTGTTGGCCTACCTCTTCTTCACATGTGTGTGGGTTCAAAACCTGGGGTGCCAGCATGCACACCAGTCCTTTGTGTTGTCCCCTCAACCCAAGATATTCCTATCTCAGTTAGATATTCCTAATCCAATCAGTGATTGGCATTTCTTGATGCCATTTCTGGGTCATGTTTGGCACTAGTTGTATGTGGTTCTTGGATTTGGTCCTATCAGCCCCAAACTGGCAGATCGTTAAAGTGGCTGATGAAAAGGTTTGAATCTTGTTTTTAAGTAAATAAACTTCACTAATGCCTTCTTGCATAAAAACAATGACCACAGGTAAACTTCTGGTTTTCAGATCTCCGATTTAACACTGGGTAATGTCTAAAGTTCTCTACTTGCTTCTCAAAATGCTCCCAATGACTTTTTAAACGGTTTTATTTTTACTTAAGTTCCAATTTTATCCTACAATTAGCTTAAACCTTAAACCACTTTTGGTTGCTTTGTTTTTCTTGAACAGGCTCCAATCTGCACTATTCTGGGTTCCTAAAATAGCCTTTCCTCGCTATCTGCCTGTGATTTCCTACCTGTGCTACAAAGTCTAGGTCAGTTCCTTAAGAAACATTTCTTGCTATTTTTCTCTCCTCAGAGTAGACTCAGAATAAATTTCTCCCACCACAGAGACCGTGTGCTATTATTAGAGCACTTGTCACTATCTTCTGGGAACACAGCTACTAGAAAGGCAGGGTTCTTGTTTTAGTTACCCCTGCATCCTGCACGATGTTGCACAATCTAACTCGGTTGTGGGTGGAATGCTTGTGTCTCTGTATAGGACATTTGGTAACATCCTTATCCCCAAGGTGGTGGCAATCAAGTATGATCTGGGAGATGATAGTCCTCATGGATGGGAGTCCTTATAAGAGAGGACCCAGAGAGCTTGTGTGTTGGCCACCTGAGGGTACTCTGCAGGCCAGAAGACAACCATCACCCAACCTGGGTGACACTTGACCTTGGACTTCTCATCTACAAAACCATGAGAAATAAACTTCTGCTTTTCCTAAGGCCCTCGCTCTGGGCCTGGTTGGAGTAACTTACTAAGACTAAGAACATATCCTATGTGATTCTTTTTTTTTTTATTAGCACACAGTTCTTTTTTGTCTCATGAATCTTTTTGTGTATGGGGAAACTTGTTTCCAAAACACCCCACCAGACTGACTCTCTCCAAACCCTCACCTCTAATTACCACACCACACTTTTTTACTCTTTTCAATCTTGCCAAAGGAGACTTAAAGAGGCTTTGTTATTGAAAGCAAATAACAACAACAAAAATCCCCTTCACTGGAGGTACCAGTAATCCCATAGAACAAAAAGGACCTTCAAAAATGAACCAGCAAGGATTGACCTAGCCCCACCTCCTGCTGTCCATTAATTGGTGGCATTTCCTTCGTGAAAAGCAGATTTTTTTTTCCAGTGGATCTAAGAAAGGAATGGAGTCTGGCCCTGTGGAATCCCTACCCCTGCTGTTACTAATTACCTCACCTTGGGCAAATTACTTGTACTCTCAACAAGGGAGGCCCTGCCTGTAAAAGTGGTTTGTATTATTTATACACCTCTTGCAGGGGATTTTGAGGCTAATTGTGGAGATACCCGTGGCCCAGAAAGACAAAGCAAAATTCCTGGGAGCATGCAGGGTCGTGCAGCGTGCACTTAGGAGAAGCCGTTCAAACCCCTGACTTTGTCCCTCTTCTGAAAACTGGGATAATACTCCAAGTCTAAGAGAAGGGAATCTCTGCCCATCAGGGGTTAAACTGAGAGGAGCAAGACTCCTTTTTGTAGGTCCTGTTGCAGGCATCACAGTTTAATTACTATCAAAGTCTGCTGGCCCACGTCCCCACCATATTAGTGAACGCATGAATGAAAGTTCCAAAGGATCCCACTGCCAAATGCCACCTTCCAGAGATAAAATGACACTGCACGGGACCAGGAAAGTGGCCAAAATAAATCAACTTGAGATTATAGCTGCTTTTTTTTTTTTAAAGGAAAATAACATGTGCACTGCTGATGATCAGGAACACAATTCGGCTAAAAGAAAGTCAATCTGCAGATACAGTTGAGGAATCCAAAGAACTCTGCCCTTCCCTCTGAGGCTGGTCCAGTTGCTATGGCAACGTGCAGCTAGCTTTCTAAGGCTGTTGTACAGACTGATTTACTTTTTTGAGAGTGAAGATTCCCTTGGCACGTTCGTATTATGGATACTTAAAGACTAAAACAACCAACCCAGCAGTTGTGGCACACACAGAGATTTATTATCTATAAATTATTTGTTGGATAATTCTGGATCACGTATTGAAAGGAATGTGTGGTTCTGTTTGTTTGCAGGTGCAGGGGTGGGGTGCAGCTTCCCCAGTATACTTGGAGACCTTGGTTGGGTTGAGGGTCACACTCAGATGTACTCAACACGATGGTGTGGACCTTAGTATTCAGTCCCTGGCCGGCGATATGGTGTTGCTCAGACTAAATTTTTAGCTGGGGACCACCAGACCATATGTGGGGCGCTAGGGATCAGATTTGAAGCCTTCTTTATGCAAGACACAAACATGAACAAAGCCCTTGGAGCTATCTAACTAGCCCCAAGAGAATTTTTGAAATAATGTCTTTGCATGCTGAACCAACAGTGATGGAACTATAGGGATCAGCATATAGCATTTCCCCTTTCCCTTAAATCCCCTCACTTGGGGCTTTTCACATAGGGTTTTGCTGTTGCTGTGGTTGAGGGCAGCAGAGTGGCTGCGGGCAGATCATTTCACATCCACTTTACTATTGGCTACTGTTGGCGATGTTTGTCCTGCAGATGAATGTGGCTCAAATACAACAGCAGAGAATCAGAGAAAAGTCATTAGCGCCACAGGCCAATCAGCTATCTGCTCCAACTCTGCAAAATGAGGGCAGTCACTGCCCCCTTCTCGCCTTTCCATCTCTTCAGAGCACGGCCCAGAAGCTACAGAAGTGCTCAGAGAGCTTCACATGGTGGCTGCCTGGTGTTCCTTTCTAAGACTGAATTCCTGAAAGGAGACCAAAAAGGCAGCGAAGGCCTTGAACTCGAATTATAACCTTCAGTGTTTATCCTGGTGCCTGAAATAGAATGGCGAGTTCCAGTGCAAAAGGACAGAAATCATGTCAAAGTTTTTTGGTTTTGGTTTTTTTGTTTGTTTGTTTGTTTGGTTTTTTTTTGTTGTTTTTTTTTTGTTTTTTTTTTTTTGCTTTTTGGATCACACCCAGCAATGCACAGGGGTTACTCCTGGCTCTGCACTCCTGTACTCAGGAATTACTCCTGGCGGTGCTCGGGGCAACATATGAGATGCCGGGAATCAAACCCAGGTCGGTCGCATGCAAGGCAAACACTCTACCCTCTGTGCTATCTTTCCAGCCCCATCATGTCAAATTTTTGAGGGAAGACACAGGGGTCGCCTGGGGTTCTGTTAGTTGGTGGAGCCGTATGTCTGTCAGTCCAGATGGCATCTACTTAAAGGGGTGTCCCTGGGTGACTCCAATAATCCCAATCCTGATCATTCTAAAGGAAAGAGTGCCTGCTTCCTCGGACATCCTGCTTTCACACTCCACAGTGCACTTAGACACTGGGGTCCATCAACTGCCTGATCTTCCTGGGTGGAGGAAAATGTGGTCCTTTTTGAGACAGAAGCAGATTCTGCCCCAGGGATGGCCATTCTTCTCTCCATTATTTATCCAGGACACAAGCAACCATGCTCGAAATCTCTAGAAGGCTTTCGAAGAACGGTGAAATAACGTTTTAGCTCCTTGTTATGCTCCACTCACACGTGGTTTTCAGAGGCCTCGCTGCTGAGGGAATTGTGACATTCTGAACACACCACGGGAACGAAGGGAGAGAAAGTTCCGGAGAAAGGAAGTATCCGGATGACTGCTCTGGCTGGTCCCTCTCTCTTCCCCATGCCCCCTGGTCCCCCCAACCTGCTGACAGAGGCTCCCCCACCAGAGCCGTGGGTTCACCCCACCCAGCCCAGCTGAGTTTCCTTTCTTGGAAGGGTCAAGCATGCAGACAGAGGTGAGGTGGCCTTGGAAGGGAGGAGGTCTGGGTGGAGGGCCATTAAATGTTGACTCACTCAGGCTTGACCAGACTTCCTCCCTTTTTCCACACTCAAGTACAATTCTGGTGAACTTTAGTTAACTGTGCCTACTGCTAAGCTTTCCCACTTCCTTTTGGGGTTTTTATCACAGACTGACACTGGCTCTGGTGTATAAAAATCCCCTCCCCTCAGAACCGGCAGAGTGAAGATCACAGGGGAAGTTGGAGGGTCGGGTGGTT